CTGTGTGGTCGTGATATAACACCGGGAGAGTCGACCTATTCGTGCGAAGATGTTAAAGCGGGCTCTACCACTGTACCGTGTTATACCGTTTTAAATATTTTGTTAACACATTTCAGTTGCCACCAGCAGCAAGAGTGTCAAACACAGCAATGACACCGATGGATACAGAGGAGAATACTGGACAGAGTTCAATAGACACTCCTGCAGGTAATTTATACATATACTAAATTTAAATGTACATATAACAAAGTCCTTTGCTTTTGGATAACAATTACCATTACAATGGCAATTGATGGTATTGGCTTGTAGTTTGTCTCTTTCACACACATTTTTTTCAATTTATTCACCCCCTAAATTAAATAGCGTGAAAATATATAGCCTATAGCGTATCGTAAGTGTAGGCTTTTGATTAATAAAAGAATTAATCATAAATATAGTGTCTGCTGACATGCTATATAACAAAGAAATGTGTTTGTTTTTTATTAATATAGACTAGCTGTTTCTCGCGTTTTCGTTCGCTTGTAAAAAAGCTTATGCTACTCACTGATAGCTTTTTAACGTTGAAACAATTTGTGGAATCGGCCCAGTAGTTTTGGAGTTAATATTTCAATACATACAAAAATACAAACCTACTGAACGTCAAATTTAGAAGATATTAATTGCCTAAAAAATATCACAGCGTCTATTCTCAATTCCTCTAATATGCTCATTTCGTATCTCTACTATCTATACTTATATAATAAAGCGTAAACACACACTTCTTTGTTGCCTAAGATGTCAGCAATCACAGCACATTTTCGAATAAATATTTTTTTAATAAAAAGCCCTACACTTACGTCACGCTTTAGGCTATATATTTTCACGCCGTTAAACTTAGGGGTAAATATTTTGGATAAAACCCTAATGTCGGAAAGAGACCATAAGTTGTTGCCAACATCAAGGAAGCAAGGTTGCCGTGGTTTGACATCATGTTATGTCATTTTGACATTTGCAAATAATAATTTGACAAATGTGAACAATGAAATGTAATTTTTGTAATGTTATATTTTGCGGATGAAGTCGCATAGGAACAGCTAGTCTTTTAATGTGATAATCATATTTTAATGATTATTTTATTTCATTCAGTACATTCATGTTTCAGAACCGCCTGCAGAAAATCCTATAGACGCTGTTGTAGAACTGGAAGCGCCCTCTATCGAACTACCTGTCAACTGATTTCATTTTATATTCATTGTTACAATATAGAATAAATTTAATTAATAAAAAATTATGGACTAAATAAATATGACTCAATTAAGCAGAATAGTTAATTGTGGTAAACTTAAGTATAAAATAAATAAATATTAAATGGTAGTTTTTTATTACCCTGTAACTATATTATACCCTGTTTTAACAAACAACAATCACAATAAAGAGTATTCAATACTTTGGCACAACGAGGTGTTTACAAGGTATATAAAAATTAGTTATTTACATAGACTATATGTATTAGCAGTGTCTACAGTAAATTTTATGTCGCCACTTATACGATTTTTAACAAAAACAAATTATAACCATATTCAAATAACAAAATAATATCGTTAGGACTATCGCTTATTGCACAAAATTAATTTTTGTACTAAAGTTCAGTAGAACAATCTTACAATTAAAATACTTACCAACTAATAAAACTATATTTTATAACTGGCAATACGACTAAAGTTACTCGTGTGACCAATAGATGGCGCTATTATTAATATTAAAACGATTTATTTTACAAAAATCCAAGGTGTTAAATTTTCTTAAATGTCTAGTTTTGAGTGCATACGGAGTATATCTTATACTTATTTTTGTACACTTTTGCACCTTGACTAGTACTTATAAGTAACTTTTATTATTCCTGCATTAACAGTATATTTCTAACAGTTTAGTGGCTATTAAGTCATACCCATGCAATAAAAAAGGTACTTAACGAACCATAAACGTGGAAGTTAGAATTTGTCTATTCTAACCTCTTTTACCAGGTAACCGAGCAACTTTGTTAAGGAAAGGCGAGATAGACGCGAAATCCTCACATTCAACTATCAATTTCCCTTTATACTTGATGCAGGATTCCGCACACAGTTGTCCTTCGAACCAGCTGCCGAGCATCTTCTTGCATTGAGCACAGTTCTCTATGCAGATATCCATTGGGTCATAACCGGTTGCTGGAAAAAAATACGTTTAAATAAATAAAATAAAAGTACATTTATGTAAGCCCTTAATCAGAGTAAATGTAAAGAATAAAATAAAAGCTTTGTGTTTCATCCATTATTTTAAAAAACAGATGTCCTTAATATTTTGTATTTAGGAGTCCTACAGCTAAATCCGGGGTCGGTTATAATTTGCAAAGATAAGATAAGGGACAAGACAGGGTAAGCGGTTTAATTTTGATTAACCTGCTGGGCCTAGCAAAATATAAAACGGGTGAAGGTTTATGAGAGTATAAACGTGGTTGTGCAGTGGCGAAATACCCACACACAAATGATTTGCTATCTTACTCCTTTCTTTAAAATAAATAGAGACAATAGAAATACCACGGTAAGGTAATTTACTAAACAAATGCAACTGTATGAAGGATTTTGTTGCCCCTTAGTCTGTGTTAACATTAACTTAGTAACGGTCTAACATCGTAAAGCGCCTATAAAAGATTTACGATCTTTACTACACCGTGTTTTAGTGTATTAAAATAAAAATATATTAAATTTTTCGTTTAGACAACCATTATTTGGGACATAAAATTTCAGACTGCCTACTTATCTGGGTCTTCGAATTTATGTTAACGTAGCATACATTTTTTAGGAGTCTAATCTCATATAATATCGGTTTGACCATTAATAAGAAAATGGCTGAATTGACCTCAAAGCATTTCGTGAAAGAATTCAGTAGCTATTATCTCTAAAAAAACATTAGATTCAAGACTCAACTTTATTTAGTCTTCAATCTTCGTGGTCGCTAAGGAAGACTATATAACAAAATTGAATACGCGACAATGTCTATTATTCAAAAGCTTTATATATGTTCTAAAACCACGTTTATTAAGATTTATCTAAGTCTAAGATACGGATGTTTTAGTAGATGCGGGATGAAGTCACTTAATTCTAGCTTGCAGACGTAACCCGGCAAACATTAATATAAGCTGCTAGCGCGATGTTATTTTAGACTACATTCGTTTACTGTTTGTGATTCGCTGCCTTGATTTTGAATTTAAATTATTAATTCGTTTTAAAAAAACAGAGGTTTTTTAGCTGTTTTAAAGTTAAAAAAATACTATACATCAAATCGGTGAGATTTTTTAGCATTAAAACTCTAATTTTTTTTTAAAGATTATTTAAAGGTACTCGGTTTTTGAACCAGTTTTTGTTTAATATAGTATAGATTTAACTCAATTATAGCTTTATGCTAGATAAATAACTCATTACGTGAAACAGGTCACTTTTAAACCCGTGGTTAATTTTTGACCCAGCCAGGAAAATAATTTTAAGCTTATGCCTGCGACTTTGCCTATAAGCAAGTAAAAAATCTGTAATAAATATATCCCATGTAACTCAACGATAATGTAGTTTTCTAGTGGCAATTTCTTAAAATCGTGCCACAATTTTTTAATTTATTCATTACATAAACACGACTCTTTCGTCTTCATAAATGGTATAAGAAAATATTCTTTACTGATAATTGGGAAATAAATAAATCTATGTATTCTAAGATTGTTTCGAGAGCACATGCTTCACTTAATTTCCCAGATTAATTTGCAGAGTTAATTACAAAATGTATCAACACCATCTGTGACGTCATTGCGGAAGTCTCATATTGACTAACTAAACTAGCTCCATATTACGACGTTTTAAAAAACTAGTATTGAGAGAACCCGTTGATATGTGAACAAGTTGTCGATAATACATTCTGTAGAGTGTAAAAAACCACTTTATTGCTAAATTACTTGTTCAAAAACATATTTCTTTGTTTTTAAAACGAGAGGAATCTAATCATAGTTGAGGGTGAGCCGCTGCTCTTCCCTGACTCCTTTTTTTTTGGTGTCGGGAAGGAAAAAACCCCCTCGGTGACCATCCTCTAGTGACATTGACGAAGGTTCCGGGATCTCCAAGGAACACACCGGAACCTTCGGTACTCAAACTCTCTGTGGCTCCACGATGTTAGAAACAAAGGACCACTCGAGGTTACCGTCTTCCTGGGATCGTTTTGATAGTCTATCAGGGCCCCCGCCCTGATCTACCACGACCCCAAGGGTCCCAGACTCCTAGAGACTCCAAAAATTAAATTATAAAACTATTTCGACTCCCTTAAACACTGCACTGCACTATTTCCTATTAATATTTACAGCATCTTTTAGTTTCACATTAACTTCAAAAACTCAATACTGCTGGTATTTAAGTAATAAATTCTCGTATAATAAAATACAGTTTTCCTTAATTCAAAAGCTATTAAGTTATGAAATAATACCAAACTATTGAGATTAAAATGTAATACAATGTAAATTGTTAATGGAATTTGACACTTATGTTAACAAGATATAAGATCGAATACTGAATATAATTTAAAACAAAATAAACCTATTATAAAACGCAGTTAAATAATTTAATATTTAAATATATCGCATGGCTGAAATTTTTAACGGATTGTTATGTTTTTTGTATCAAAAACTATCAATCAATTCAATTACAATGTAGACTGTAGTAATATTTCTCAGAATGCATTATACGAGTAAAATTCGCGTAATATAAACAACATATGACTAGATCTTTCTTCTAGAATTTTCTAAAACGTATAAGGAAGACATACGGCCGAGGAAATACTCGAATCAAAACATTCTTTGTGCGGAGGTTGACTGTTATTTATTGAACACATTTAGATAAAGTTACAAACCAGAGCTCGTAGTATATTCTAGTAACAGTTATTAAGAATTTATTTATTTATTATTAATTAATATAATTAATAATAAATAAATATTGTATCTATTATTAGCCTATTAAAGAAAATAAGATGTCTTCGGACTATTACTTATTATACAATTGGAGTGTCTGTTTGTAATATGAAAAGAAAAATTCCAGATTTCGGGAAGATGGTGTATTTGCGTTGCTGATAACGAAAATCGCATTTAACATTTTTTGTCTGTCAGTCTGTCTGTCGGCTGAGTCGATTTCAACCTGATTTTCATTGAATGGTAGCTGACATAGACGGGCATATTATAGGCTACTTTTTTAATTAATAATGCGTGGACAAAGTCGCGGGCAACAGCTATATAATATAATTTTCAACCCTTTGACGGAAATTGCGAGAAAAAACGTAAAGTTTAAAATCGTTAAAGCAAGAAGAACATAAAGCTATTTAATTTCTTGATGGATTAAGATCGAATTTCGACAATTAGGCAACCGGTAATAACAATAAATGTTACCAGCGTTTTGTTACAAGTTAGGGCATTATTTAATTTTTATTTTTAAATATTTTTAATGGTGAAAGAATTAATTAAAATCGGCCCAGTAGTTTTTGAGTTTAATCGTTACATATAAAAACATTTACTTTTGTAATATTAGCATAGTTTACTATGATTCCAATGGGAATGACTTTTTTATTCTTATGAATTTTATATTCATAGAGAAATGAATATCTTAAACCACAATGACAACGTGTTTTTGGCTTAAAATTTACCAGCTTAAACTCACTATACCAATAATGCTTGTGTTGTGTTCGAAATTCAATTTATTAAAGCTAACCGCCTTGGGTTTAGAAGGTGTCGTTAAATCCTTGTTAAGAGTACAGTACATGTACTAGGTATTCCACGTATGTATTTTGTCCTATAATACAAAATTAAGGTGAAGGCAAGGTCAAACGGATTGAGTCCGGTCAGTAATAGCATAAACCTAGATTTAGCAGCTATATTAAACGTTCATAAAATGAAATTTGGTATCTAATTTTAATCAAAATCCTTTAACATGTGTGAACTTGTAAAATATTTGTTTCATTGATAAAAGCATACATTAAAGAATACGAAAGCAGGAGAAATTAGATGATCTTAAAGCCCTTTATCCACTAAAATGGTCGTGTTTTGTTAAAAAAAATACAAACATTTATTTTAATTGGAATTTTACATAATGGCAAATTAAAAGGTGAACATTATGAAAATGACAGAGTTCTAAAAACATCAATCAAAGTTCGTTTCGAACTTACATTTCAGTTTCCAACTAGGTAAGTAATTTGGCAAGAGACGAATTTGTTGACGAAATAAATGTATTTGCAAAGTTGAATTTTTTCCAATCGAATTAACACATTATGTACTATCTAGAAATTAGACAACTTATACTTGCTTGGATTTTATTCAATAATTTTTTATTACGTCAATTTATTAAAAGTTCCATGTATCGGGCATCTATACTATAATAAAGCGTAAACACACATTCTTTGTTGCATAAGATGTCAGTAACTACAGCACATTTTTGAATAATTCTTTTTTTTATTTAAAAGCCCTACACTTACGTCACGCTTTAGGCTATATGTTTTCACGCTATTAAACTTAGGGGGAAAAATTTTGGATAAAAACCCTAATGTGGGAAAGAGACCATAAGTTGCTGCCAACATAAAGGAAGCAAGATTGTCAAGGTTTGTCATGTCATGTCATTTTGATATTGGCCATCGATAATTTGACAAATGTAAACAATAAAATAAAATTTTCATAATTTCGTGCGCACGGGAACAGCTAGTATTAAATATGTACAATATATCACAACTTAGGTCTCACATAAGTTAGTAAGTTTATCGATACATTTGCAAAATTACTAAATTAAAGCTTTTACGAATAAATGACTGTATGAAATATAAATACAACAGTGATAATGTAGGAATGATTTTTAAATTTTATTTCAGTCCATTGATCAAATTCACTCATGCGAACCGTGAGCTGATCTACAGATCATCGATGTTAGCTGAGTTACCCATGACTAGTTAAAGAATGACGCGCGAGGTCAAGTGTAAGTATATTGAAATTGCGCAACGAAACGCCTCGGCGAAAGTAAACCGGCCAATTCGCGGATTGGGGTCATTGCCTCGATTCGCACGAGAGCCTCACCGCGCCGTTAGTTGTGCCACCAAAGTCGCGCCAACTGCAAACTTTGTCAAGTTTTAAGTTTAGGTTCCGTAGTCATTTTTAAAATACAGTAAAAAGCTATAATTTTTTGTATAGTGATTTATGTCCTGACTTACCGCAAGTTTCCGTTGACGTAATTCTTGTATACTAATAATTCCGCTCCCGCCAGTGTTTAAAATAATCAAATGTACACAATTCATGTATATGTTTGGACAAAAACCTTCAAATATGAGAAAAATTAGCACTTGCATCGTAAATGTGTTAATGGAAAAATTTTTGTCTGTAAACAATGTCCGTTATTTATGTTTCCTGGTTAATTGTGTTGTTTTATCTTGCAAATAAAACAGTAATTTAGACACTCCCTAGAGGACTACGGATCCCTAAATATAGATGCTTTTGCAATTTGTATTAGTGACAAGCTATGTCCTTAAAGAGAACACGTGGCTTAAATATCATGTGCTTAACTGTTAGTGAATTAAATTTGCATTTTGCTTTTAATTGATTCATAATTTGTGCAACACGTTTAAAGTATCGCATCTCCCTTAACTTTTTAATTTTTATATATTTAGTTTGCTATAGTTTAGTATTATTAATATTCCTATTATCCTATGTCGATTAAAAAAGTTAATCTAATTTTCTTTTAAATGTTTATTTAAGTTTGCGAGAAATGTTTAAAGCCTAAATAAAAGATTTATTTGCTAATTTTGTATTTAATAGTCCTTAAAATGAAGGTGTACAATTATTCTGTAGGTTTTGCCAAATTTTTCATGAAAATAAGAATAAACTTAAGGCACTGTGTCGGTTACATACTTGTCCTACAAACAGGAATGTTTAGTCAGCAATTTTATAAGTGGTTGGCAATGCCCCAGCAAGTAGATGTGCAAAGTTTCGTACATTACTTTTGGCACCAATGTTTATGTTACTACGTGGAAATTCCTTTGCTAAGTTTAATTAAGGTTTATTTAAATAAATTGGTATTCTACGAAAAGGTATACGATTTTGAATTATTCTTATTGATGGGAAAATTAATAATATGGAGTAATATTAAAAAAGAAATTATAAGTGAAAGCGTTATTTATATTATACTAGCTGTTCCCATGCGACATCATCCGCATAAAATTATAAAAATGTCATTTCATTGTTTACATGTGTCAAATTATCAATTGTAAATGTCAAAATGATATGACATGATGTCAAACCTTGACAACCTTTCCTCCTTTGATGTTGTCAGCAACTTATGGTCTCTTTCCCACATTAGGGTTTTTATCCAAAATATTTACCCCTAAGTATAACGGCATTATATAGCCCAAAGCGAGACGTAAGTATAGGGCTTTTTAATAAAAAAAGAATTATTAGAAAATATGCTTTGATTGTTGACATCTTAGGCAACAAAGAAGTGTGTGTTTATGCTTTATAATAATAGTATAGATTTATCGATTGACTTAGTATATTTAAATACCAAGTTTTGTATTTGACTCACTTCAAAAGGAAGATAGTTCAACTTGTCTTTGTTTTTTAATTACTTGTCATGCATATTTTAAAAATAACTACAGTTATGTCGTACTTTAGTCACAAAGTTCGTTACTAATATATTCATACAAAATGTCTCCGCTAAGAAAGTTTTTGTAGCAATGAATAAATTAATAATTCACTGCGCGTCAGAGCTTACGTTATTCAGCTTTTAGGCTCTAATTTAAGTATTTCATAAGAATATAACAGCGCCGCTAAATCGTCTTTCACACATTTATAACAAAATCTCTAAGCAATCAAACATTGATATATTTAATGATTCAAATTCCTTAATTAAAACTAAAATTAAAAATTATTATTTCAGTAAAGATCACACACCTTAGGTATACATTAAGTTATTTTTCTTTTTTGTGGTGAGTTTTAGTTTTTAATTCTTTGTCATGTAAAACTTTTGTTTTTTATCATAATGTTGTGTTAGCCTGTAAGTGTATCCAAGATATTGTGTTTTAGTTATAATTATTTTTCTTCATCAAACTTGACTTATTTCACGTGATACTTTGGCTTCCTATTGTAAATAAATAAACAAATAAGGGCTGCTTATATCGATACATTTTTAATTAGCTATTTATCCGACTTCCCATAAGAAGGAGGTAATTAATTCGTCTGTATGTTTTTTATGTGTGTTACCGCATAACTCTGCCGCTAGTGGACCGATTTTGATAATTCTTTTTTTATCCGATAGGTAGTGCTTGCAGGTGGGTCCCATTTTTTTTGATTATATAACAACTACAGATGGTTGTTAAAGTTTTAGGAGTAGTAACATACTGAAAACAATCAGTTATTTAATATTTTTCTTTGGTACAAATGTACCTTTTCTGTTTGTATATTTTCCTAAATGTGTTCGTATTCCAGTATACAAATTTTTATGAAACTTAACAATATTCTGAGGACAAACGTAAAATATTTGTGTCGTAAAATTTTTGAAATCAGATAAAAATGTATTCTGTTTTAATGAGACTTGTATGCACTGTGACGTTATTTTAATTATTCATATTTAGACATTTTGACTTTAGCATTGCATACCGTTACGTAATAAAAATGCAAAGCTTTTCCCTTTGTTGTCTTTTTGCCATATTAAAATAATGAACAGTTGAAAAACATTCTGTTTGTAAAACCTTGCCAATTAGTGATTCTTTGTTGTTCCGCAAGAACAATTATTTTATTGAAACTTATGCTTTACATTATGCTAATAAAAGCTGTAGTTTGAAATCTGCACTGGCTTACAACTGGCATATAAACACTAACTACAGCAGAGCCAGGTTAGTGTCCAACAGTACTGGACAAATGTTAACTAAAAAATTCTACCATAGAATATTTTATAGACGCGACATTTTCGATTTGATTCCCAACATGCTAGCATCGTTATTTGTTTTTATAAAAACAAATGAATAAAAATCCCGTAAGATAAGTTCCTATCTGTAAAAACATTGTTATCCCTATTACTCTTTGCAGAACAAATGAAACAACGATATGTCGATAGACATCCAGTTTAAATATTTGCTGGGAAGATCTGTGTACTATAAGATTATAAAAACTTACCAATAGCAGGATTTCCTTTAGATTTCCTTATTATAGTTGCCAACATCATTAACGATAGTACGGTAAGGAAGTTTCGCTGCACCACCATCATTTCAAATTCTAAAATAATTCACATTTTTTTGTAAATAGGGAATACTCTTTGGATATTATGATACACAATTTAAAGAACTATTTAATATTAACTTTATAAATTGCCTTAAATTAATTTACTAAAGTGGCTACAATATTAAATTCGCATTTAACAACTTCATACAAAACTTTATAAACAAAGTACTTACAGCACTTAGGTAATCCCAGATAATGTTTTGCCTTTTTCAAGTATATATTAATATAATAAAACATGTTTATGATACATAATGTATATCGTCGACCATACTCAAAGTAAAATAGTCACTAAGGGACGTCTTTACCATAGATTAAACATAAATTTTACTATAAGATGTCTAATTAGGTATTAAACTATGTGCAGCACGAGTGCTAACATAAAAATTTGTTTATTATGTAAGTATATTACTATTTGTAGTTGTCGTTAAAAACAGAACAATAACTAATATTAGGGTCCTTAAAGTAAATTGAGACCCAAACTGGTACTTAGCATATAACTCCCTTTAATTACTACGTTAAAGGGCTTACAAAGGACTTGTGTATGATTAGTTTCGTAATTATTGTAAACTAACCTAACTGGGGTTCAAACATTTATGTGGCCTATTTCAAAGAGGTTCGAAAATTGTACTTATGCTTGGTTTTGAATGTTTTAACCATAATCGCAGATAATATAATCTGTCCTAGATGTTAAAAGAAACAACAGCAATAATAGTAGTTTGAGCGTATGGTTTGGTACCTAATGTCCCGTCTGTTGATATTTATAAGTAGTCTTTGAGTTAAATGTAATTTACAATATGACAAAATATGCAACAGCTACCCATGTTTAAATAACTAAAACACGTTAAGTGTGAAAGGCTTAATACGAAAGTTTCACTTCAATTTGGACGGTGAAGGTATAAGACTGGAAAAGGGTCTTGATAGAACTTGTTGAGCGGAGATAAAAACATGAATATTTTACTTCTAAAATTAAGAGAATTGTTTATTAAAGTTAACTACGTTTTGTTCATCTAATACTTAATATATTTTTAATATTTGTCACACTTACTGTATTCATAAAAGCTGTCATTTAGATGACAATTATTTGTCACTACACTGGAACTACATTCGCACTGTTTCGATTTCGTTAATTAAATAATATTAAAAAAAAATACATAAGCGACCGTTCGTATATCGCACGTGTTTAAATATGAAACCAGTCGTCTTGTCCATACGTGATCGAGGGGAAGGGGAGGGGAGTTGCATAGTTCGTGCGTCAGGAACACCCCAGGAAACGGATCTATATGTACTTTACCAAACCCGAAAGTTCTAAGTAGGAAGTCGGTGACGTTACGTATGTTGTAACGTAGATATGACTTATGTAACGTGCGTGGAAATGAATGTCATTTTATTACGAATTTATGTACTTGATGATTTCATCGTATTTTTGTACGAAAATTTCACTTTAACACTCTCATGCTATAGTGAAATTTTCGCTGGAACACAATGAGATCATCTATTTAAGTAACACTTTTTTTATGTATTAAAAGTTAAATTTCGCCTTTTATTGCTATCTTGAAATTTGCTTTTTTAAGTCAGACGATAATAATGTATTACTCATTCATAAAATTCCGAATAAAGTAGGGAAATAAGATTTAAGTCCACATTATTCTTTAGTGCGTATGTTGACTGGCTAGCCTTCAGAAGTAGCCCCAGGCGCCTGAATACTTGTACACTGATGATACTTTAGGGTTATTCTGATATATTTTTTAACAAATAGAAAGTAAAATTTAATATTCAAGATTCAAGATCATCTTGACTTTGCTTTCTCACTGTTTCATTTGATCCAATGATTCCAAGTAATTATCACCGAGATAGCCCGTTTAGTGTCGGTTACTATGAAAATATACGACTGCTTAAGTAACTATTTATTGATTCTGAGTGTGGAACTAAAGTATTTTTATGCATCTTAAATTTTAATAGCCATTAAAAAAACGTTTTATTATAGTTACCATATCGTATTTATATTTTAATTAGAACCGTATTAGATTAAAAACTTTGGCGCCGCGACGTCATTAATTTTTTATTTGTAAGATCAGAATAAACCGCGTTAACGACAACGAACTCACTTCCGCGGTACCGGACAAAAGTCAAATGTAAATAACCTACAGCTACACAACCTGTACACAAACGATTGTTTCGATAGTTTTTTCACATATCTTGTATTAATAGAACTAACTAAAATGGGAACGAAACAAAACACGCAATGGTTGTGACGTAAATAAAATTGCACTGAGTATATTAAAAGAAGTACTACGATGTTATCTAATATTGTTAGAAATACTTCCTAATTTAATGTACGCACAATCCTGCCGGAAACAGAAGCAAGCATGATCTCTCAAGCTGGTTTGATCGGCTTCCGTGTATGAAATCATGTTCACGAAAACACGATCGAAACACAACATTAAAGATAATTTCCTGAACTTGGATTGACTTAATTTTATTACCACGTTTCGAGAGAATCGATTTATACAAAACGAGCATAATTATCCACTTCTTAATATTTTCACATTTTTAATACAGAAATGAGATTCTTTTTATATAAGTGTCTTTTATCTTATCCTAGTAGCAAGGATATAAATTTTATGTAATAATTTACGAGAACATTTTTAAATCTATAAGAAATTGAGTATCGGAGTCTATGGATAATCTATACTATTATAATAAAGCGTAAACACACACTTCTTTGTTGCCTAAGATGTCAGCAATAACAGCATATTTTTGAATAATATTTTTTTTAATAAAAAGCCCTACACTTACGTCATGCTTTAGACTATATATTTTCACGCCATCTAACTTAGGGGGTAAATGTTTAGGATAAAAACCCTAAAGTGGGAAAGAGACTATAAGTTGCTGCCAACATCAAAAAAGAAAGATTACTAAGGTTTGTCATGTCATTTTGACATTCGCTATTGATAACTAGACAAATGTAAACAATAAAATAAAATTTTCAAAATTTTATGCGGATGAAGTTACAGGGGAACAGCTAGTATCTACATAAAAGACAACTTTAATTGAATATACTATTAACATAGCATTGTAAAACATCTTGTAAGAAATGTGGAATTTGGTTTCGAAATCTTACTAATATTATAAATGCGAAAGTTTAGATGGATGGATGTTTGTTAGAGTTTGTATCCTAAACGGCTGAACAAATATCGATGAAATTTGGCATATATGTGTAATATGGTCTGGAAGAAGAGTCTACTTAGTTTTTTTTTTAATTTCACGCGGATGGAGTCGCAGGCGAAAGCTAGTCTGTTATATAGTTCTAAAACAATAATTTTCACTTGAATGCAGTTTATGCGTCACAGATAATATGTTAATTATGTTCTATAAATATCATACGGAATGCCTATAAATGTTAGCGATATAAACATTATGAAATAAGTATGGCGCGTAGATCGGAAGGGTATGTTGAACCTGCATTTATAATTGCTTCCTCGATATGTTCTCAGTAAATTGAACGTAATAGCATTTTCTATCAGTCAATTTGTACTTTACACAAACGCTTCGTTAAAATACTTGAAATATTTCTAATTATATTAAGTTAAAAAGAATAATGCATTTTTTTGTGTTTTGTTTGGGTTTGAAAAATTAATTATTAATAAATCAACTAGCTTTTGCCAGCGACTTCTTTCGTAATAAATTTTAAAAAATCTTAAGTTTAGTTCTTTTAGTATATATTGTACATCAGAATCAAATTTAATCGAGATTGGTTAATTTTGGAGTAAGATAAAAATAAACACCCATCCAAACTTTCGCATTTATAATATTACTTTAAATATTTTTTTTAAAAGAATAATTTAATATTTGTTTCGATCTGTGTACAACAGCATTACTGCGAGTTTTCTTTTGTTGATCAAAGATGACGCATAAAAGTTTTATTGTTTGACACAATGGAGAAATCGCTTTCTATGGGAACAATATTTTTTGGCTCATATACTTTCAGTAGTAAAAAGTAAACTTAACTATTTTTTCTTTGCTTTGTAATTTTTTTTATATAATATTAGGTGGCAAACGAGCAAGCGACCACCTGAATTCACCGTAAAATCCACTTTTCCTCCCCATCCTTTCCTCTTAAGAAAAGGGTGGAATGCGAAAGAGACTAAAATTAGGCCTCCGGCACCACACTCATCAGACGAAACGCGGAATTGCTTGCAGTTTACGCCAGTTTTCTGTGTGGTCGTGGTATTACACCGGGCGCGCCAACCCATTCGTGCGAAGATGTTAAAGCGGACTCTACCACTGTTAGATTATTTATTGTTTATTTACACATGTTAAATATTTGTATATTCCCACCACTTATGTATAACAAGAACAAGAATGGTTTTAATATATTGATTTTAATATTGCTTGTTTTAAAATCGCCAGCAAGCAATATTCTTACATGAATGCATTTTGCTTCAGAAAATGCCGAGCTCTTCATAACATTTATATGAAATTGTTATTTTGCTTGCAGTAGATTGAATTTTGTCTAAAAAAACATGTATAGCTAACCGTAAGTTTCCTGTTCAGAAAACAAAAACATTGAAAACCTTATCTTAAGTGTTTTTTATAAACGTACCGTCTTACTAATCTTACTAATATTATAAATACGAAAGTTTAGATGGATGGATGTTTGTTAGAGTTTGTAGCCTAAACGGCTGAACGGATCTCGATGAAATTTGGAATTGATGTAGAGGATAGCCTGGAAGAACATATAGCGTACTCACTTTTGTTTTTTCATTTTTAATTACACGTATCGTCGCGGACGAAAGCTAGTAATATTATAAATGCGAAAGTTTGCATGAACGTTTGTCACTACGTCCAAATATGTTAATGAAATTTAACTCAGATAGATTTAACATAGATTGCGCGCTGTTTTTTTTTTATTCTGCGAATAAATTCGCTAGCAAAAGCTAGTTTATGTAATAAAAGGAAATACTAATAATGATCCTTCTCCAAGCAGTTACATTACACAAGTATTGTGTTACGTGGAATTATGGTGTTTTCGCAATAGTAATTCAGATACTTATAGGCCGTACTTTCTTAATAAATCTTGATTAAAAGATCTGTTAACGTACTTAGGGGAACTAGGTTCGTTACTTGACGTATATTGCTTAGTAAAAGTAATGAAGGAATTATTCTAGTTAATGTTGATGGAATCCGTTAGATGGAGCTGTTATCAATCATACTAATATTATAAATGTAAAAGTTTGGATGGATGGATGGATGTTTATAAACTAAACTGCTGAACGGATCTCAATGAAATTTGGCATAGATGTAGAGAATAGAAGAATCTGGAAGAACACATAGGCTACTTGGTTTTGTTTTTTATTACCACGCGGACGGAGTCGCGGGCGAAAGCTAGTATCAAATATGTTATACATTTCTTTAATTAAACATAATAAAGCTTCTATTATCTATTACTAATTTTTATATTAATTTAATTAAAATTAAAACAAAACCTTCCATTTTATTTTATATATTCAAAATAATATCTAGTAATAAACATCAAAGACTATAAATTTAATTGTAAATTTTGTCTTTCACTCAATATAATTTGAAAGAGCAAATAAAACAATGGTAACAAAGCTAAAGACAAATTAATTAATATCGTTCAATAAGTCAAACCGTTTACATTTCCGTTTTGGGAACTTCGTCGCTCACTCTAGCGAGAACTAAATTCTTCTCAGTGCCTTGTAGTCTTTTGGGTTCTAAGGCGGATCTCATCTCCAGAGCTCGAGTGTCCGTTTCGAGGGAATGCTCTTTATCAGCCAAATCCAAAGCAATTTTAATTGAAGCCGATTCTAAGGCATTATATGTTGCTCTAAAACGGTTACAAAATGTAAACATACAAAGGTAACTTGTTTTTGTTTTATTGTTATACTAGCTTTCGCCCGCGACTCCGTCCGCGAGGAATTAAAAAAAAAACAAAAGTGAGCAGCCTATGTCTTCTTCCAGACTATCCTCTACATCTATACCAAATTTCATCGAAATCCGTTCAGCCGTTTTTAGGCTTTAGGCTACAAACACTAACAAACATCCATCCATCTAAACTTTCACATTTATAATATTAGTATGATTGCCCATTTTTGTAATGTGCGCAATTTAACATGGCTGGTTTAATTTGATTGAGAAATTTAAAATAAGAACGTGTGTTAAATCACAGAACAGTTTTCAATGACAATAAGAGCAGGCGCACATCTTTGACTAAACTATCGCACAACTGCTGTGCGATTATTTTGCAGCCAATTCAACTGGTGCAACTAAAACGGAGTAGTGTGCGTACCTTTATAGAAGCTCATAGGAATCAAAGCGAGACAAAACAGTTGTGCGATAGTTTCAGGTGTGCGCACACTATTAGGTATAACATCTGTAGGACGTCAAAGAAAGTTTGTGACTGAAAAATCTAAAAACTGTATTTCGTTTATAATTAATGTTTTTGGTTGAAACGTTTATCATGATTTTTCTTTGACTCACTAACGGTATGTATATTTTTGCACTGTAGTATCCTAAAGAATCATACTTTTCTACGTTCACTAAATATTACTAAAGAATTCATAACTCGAAAGATCTAAATTGATAAACCTTATTAGACTACGTTTTGTTCAAATGAATAAATGCATTAACAAATTGCTGGGTTTTGAATTGCAAAAATATTAAACCAGGATTCTTTTGTGATTTTTAACGGTAAAAGGATTCAACAAAGGTATTAAAGTGCCTTATATTCATCCGCTTACATAAATCTTAAGCAAAGCGTTGTTCAGATATAACTTCCAAGAATATCTAAATTACAAAGTTATAACGGGAGAATTTTTTTCGGACAATTTTAATTACGCGTTGAACGATTTTCGTATCTAAATCTTTTCGGAGACGCTTAAAGTCTACGAGAAAATGCCCTTCAAAATGTTTAATTTTTACTTTTAATATTCACTATAAATGGCATGTTTTGCAACATGAAAGAGATGAGCTTCTCCAACTCATTATGATGGGCAAAGTCGCAGGCAGAAGACGCGTTGGAAGGAAAAGGAAATCATGGCTAAGAAACATCCGGGAGTGGACAAGTATCGCCAGCGTCTGACATCTTTTTCGCTTGGCACAGGACAGGGTGAGATTCGCTGAGCTGACGGCCAACCTCCAGTAATGGAGAGGCATTAGAAGAAGAAGAAGAAGATTCACTATCATGCTTATTTTGAAGACCATTAATTGAAACGAAAGTAAACATACAACATTGTTATAGCTTAATAATTGAAAGTAAAATCTATCAAATTAAGACTGTTAAATGGTACAACTTTAAAGAATGACCATTTTGAGTTATTTAAACACGTACAAGGTCACAAATCTTTATTCTTTATAATCATTATTATATCTATGATATCTTCGAAGTACAAACTTACTTGGCGCAATCCAATTTTTCTTGTAGCTGACGAATTGTTTCCTTAAGGTTTTGTACTTCTTCCTTCAAGCCAATGTCAGCTTCGTCCGCAGCGAGTTCGATACCAGGCCGATAGCCGCGCGTCTCTAAACGAGTCTCTGCTACCTTCAGAGCATTTATCTTATCAGAGAATTGCTCGCCCATTATCTTAAGTTCAGCTGCTAGTTTGTCCATGTTTTCTTCCATCTGTAAAATTATTACCAGTGTATAATCGCACACTGACATTCTTTATTTTATACCTTTCTCTTTTATTGGTGCTGGAGGTCTAATTTTAGTCCCTTTTCCTGTCCATTCTTACGAGGAAAAGATGGTAAAGAAAAAAGTGGATTTGACGGCAAAAGAGATGCATAAAAAGGGGAAATATCCTTTTTATGTGAGTCTCCTTTTCTGTTAATTAAAGGTCGGCAACGCACCTGCGGATGTCTATGGGCAGAGGTTTCTTCGCCATTCCAGCGGATTCAGGTGGCCGCTGGCTCGATTGCCACCTTACCTTGTATTAAAAAAACGCAACGAAATTATACTTTTGCATTCCTTAAACAAAGTAAAAGGTACCTTCATCCTCTGCCATTCTAGTTCGTTCCTTGCTCGTTGCGTGTCGTAGATACGTTTGCGCATCATATAATTGGTGACGTCAGTTTGCGCTCGCAGTGCGTTGCGGGCGCGCTCGCGGGCCACGAAGAGAGACTCACGAAGACTCAGGGTATCCTGCAGACCATCTTCTGCCATTCTCTTCGTCGCTTCACATTTTTCTTGCCACTGCTCGTTCGTAATCATTCTGAAATCAAGATCGACGAAGATTTTATAATATACTTTCTGATTTTATTTAAAAGTAGCTGTTGCTCATAACTTCGTCCATGTGAAATTAAATAATATAGCCTGTGTTACTACAGCGATGTAGCTTTTTAATGGTGACAGGATTTTTTTAATCACTCCAGTAGTTTTTGAGTTATTTCAATACATACAAAAATACAAATCCTTCCTCTATATAATATTAGTATATACTACAAAGTTTACCTTTTTAGAAGCTAGTCTACTGTTGCAATGTTCTACGTTAATGAAAATAATGGAATGCGTTTTACCTTTTAGGCGTCTTTAAAGGATCAGATTTGTATGTTATGTTAGCACAATCTTTGTCCAGATTAAGCATATCCTTGTCGATTTGTAGAGCTTCATTTTTATCATTGAGATCGAGTTGCAATTTGAATTTGATGACCTCTAGCTTGTTAATTTTCTCCCAAGCCGATTGACAGCGGTCTGTTAGTAATTTTTTGTTGCTCTCGGTGACACATAATTCCTATAACAAAAATAGCAAATTGCATGTTTATAAATTTTATTGATGTTCCTTTTTAGGAGAATTAGGGTTAAAAGCCCACCTTTTTAACTTTATGTTTTCAAATTGCAATTTGCTATCAATACTTGGGGAGAAACAAAACCTAATTGTTATTATTTAAACCGTAACGTGTAAATAGAATCAAATTTGTGACACGTAAAAAGAAACAATAAGACAATAAGATTAAATCTAAAGAAGTCTAAGTTCGTGACTAAATTTAGCATATTTCCGCACCGGAAGCGATACTTGCAGCATGTCAATCGACAGTCTTCATACTGTACAATGAAGACAAAGGGGTGCAAACGTCTACCTGACTTTACCATTATTGTACTGGAACCCGGAAAATAGCAGACACACCAAAAACCACTTTGGTATTCCCGTCACATGACCACCACAATATGGTTATTTTATAAATACGAACGTTCATAAATTTGTAAAACTTTCAAATCTCATTAATTAAACCATTTGTACTCGTTCTCATTATAATCATCATCCGCCTTTGTCTGCCCACAGCTGGACGTGGGGTTACGCAATTGATTAATGTTTTAATTGGAATAAAACTAGAGTTTTTACTCGAAAAAAATCACGCAACTATATATAACCTATTTAGGTTAGGACAGTACCTTCTTCAATTCAGTGTCAGCAAGATCATAAGTTAGCTCAGTACTTCTTCTGCCATCTCGATTAGACAAACACTCAGAGCAAATCAATAGCGGTACATTTAATTGTTCCAATTCTCTTTCCGTAGACGCTTTCTCTTCTTTCAATGCATTCATTTCTCTGTCCAGGCGGTCCAAGAGTTCTTGCAGAGTCGATTTCCATTGTTCAATTTCGTATACTCTGGAAAACGCAAAATAATAATAAGTAATTGTTTATTTTGTACCAACATTTATTAAAGTCTTGAGTTACTGTCAAACTTAGAGTCGTTAATTTCTTTACCAAAGGAGACCCTTAGTGTTCACTAAATTATTGAAGGCCACATATTGAAACGACATTTAAATGTAACAGTGTCTTAAATGCCTCTGAATTCCATAAAAAATGACTTCTGATTGATTCTATGTGGAGTTTACAAAGCAACGTGTTTAAGATTCATTTTAAAATTTGGCTGAGTAGATAGTTAGAGTAGAAGTCATGAAAGTATGATGCTTTGATAACTACTGGTACACTAGTTAAATCAGTAATTTCTTTGAAACACGACTTATAACATTATCCGTACCTTGCTCTCAGACGGTTGTTGTTATGATAAATGTCCCAGTCGGTTTTAATTCTAGTTTCATTTCGCAGTTGCCGCGCGCTGTGCCGAAGATCGAAGGCATCTGCTCTTCGGGTATCCGCTGTCACCTGAAACAAAAGCACATCTTGTTGTTTATCACATTTTATCAAAATTTAAATGGAGAAATACCGTAATGTTGGTGCCAGATATCAAAATGGTAATCCGTTATAAAAATTGGGTTATAGTAACAACTACTTTTTTGTATATCTTTTATACGTATAAAAAACAGATTAAATAACATCATTTGCCGACTGAAACATTTTTTACAGAAATCTTTTATTTTTAAAAATTAACAAGAGGATAATGTTAAATTTTAAAGTAACAATTAATTTAAACGTCGAGGGAATGAACCAGCACTGAGGTACTTGAATTATCAGTACAAAGTAAAGAAATACCTTTGGGATAGTAGTGTTTTAGCAAAAATACGTTCGGTTTAGCCTCTCCGTTTGCCATCCTGAATAAAATTATACGACACATGTTGTACAGATAGTGGTATACTGATCAGCATACAATGGCACTATTTCTATCATAACCTTTTTGTATACTGTCATAACCTCTTTGTATACTTGTTTGTATACATTTGTATAAAAACTCATACCTTTGGGTTCTTCAGTAGAACGTTATTTACATTTAAATCTTACGCTAGTGTTGCACTTGGATCCCATTAAGGGATCAATAAAGGAGCATATACATACAAAAATACAATTGTATCCTCTTTATAATATTAGGTATACATAATAGCGTTTTTTAAAAAGAAACTCATCATAATATTTAGTGATAACAGTTGTACAATTTCCTTAAAATATGACATGATATTGAAAAAATTCATTGTACAAATAAAAGATACATTAGTATCACGAAGTATCAAAACAAAATGACTACAAAAGTTTGGGTTCATTCCAATTTTTTGTTCTACATTATTCCTATTTATCAAAACTGCTATTCATCGATACAAATATTAATGAATTTGTGAAACATTTGTTTGAAAAAAACTATTGTTGAATACAAAATTATACAAGACAAAAGCTATTACTATGAAAGTTTTGCAGAACTTCGCGAAATATACGGGGACAATCCCTAACGATGCAGTATGAATGCCAATGGGATCGTTTCAACTTTTGTAACTAAAAACAAAACTTAACCGAAATGAATATTTACAACGGTACGTCTAGGTTTGAATAAAAATCACGTTTCGTCCCGAGAGAGAGTACAGTTTGCAAGAAATTATTATTAAAACAACCCTTAGTATTATTCTACGCGAAAAAAATAAAACGTTTTGTTGACCTGAATAATATAATGCAATGAAAACAACTTTTAAATTACACGAGAAGGAATCTACATCTAGTTACTGAGTGAAATTTCACAAACATTTATTATTTTAAACGTTTCCGAACAGCTGTGCAATTTAGGTAAGGACTTAAGGCCATAAAATTAAGATGGTTGGTGTCGCAGAGGTATACTTGACTGCCAGTAACTGGCCCACCTGCCTGTAATCATCTGTCACGAACTAGCTACTGGTATCTCTAACTGGAATGAAAGTAAATATTTGGTTTTGTGTTCCTTCGACGCTTGACACTTGTTTCGCTTGGTCTTATGAACACTTTACTGGCATGTGTATACGCATTGCGGCAGTGGCTGACACGTGCCAGTAACAGGGATGCCAGTAATGACTTTATATTACTAGCATATTTATTGCCGCCCTAACTGCCGATTTGTTACTTTTTAAATGTCGTAACATGGGTCGTTCAAAGTGTAAGTATAACCTACCTGTATTCAACCCAGCTCTATTTTTTATTTTCAAGAATTTATCTTGTAGAAAGAAATGCTTAGTTGCAGATTTTAAAAGATCATGAGATTAGCTGAGGATAAAAATACGTTACCTGTAATCCGTAGAGGCGGGCGTCCCAGTCAGGCAAACTTAAATGCGGCAGAGGCTTTTCATAAGTCACGACTGACTGCATAATTATAATTTATTCTTGACTATGTAATACAAAATAAAAGAAATTATTTTTTACAAAAAAATATTAAAACCCTGTCACTATTGAGTGATTCGATTTTGTGTTCGAAATTTAAAACACATTTTGAGGAACAATTTATTTTTAAATAAAAATCTTTAATAATACGACCTTATTTGTGCTTGCTTAAATTTGGATAAAAAGGGAGAATGTTACCCAAAAAAACTAGTACCTATTATAACCTAATAAAATTGTTATCAAAACGTCTTAGTATGCCTATTAAAAAAATACTGAAGTTAAAGTCTAAGGAAAACACAAAACATTTTAAATTATAGAGGTTTTAAGTTATCAGAGGTCTATGTTGTAGAGGTTTTGGGATCTGATGGGAAGGGAACATACTATTTTTTAAAGTTATAGAGGTTTTTAAGTTACCAAAGTTTGAGTTATTAAGGTTCTACTGTAGTTATCTGTGTAGAGAATTGATTAGAATTTTCCAGAATATATTTATTCAACGAACTTTCTTTTCGGTACAAAAATGTTCCTAATTTTTCCAAGACGTATGTATAAATAAGAAAGTCTAAACTTTTCCATACATTGATAGATCGACATGTCTTAAAGTTTCTCGTAAGTTGTATGCAGAGTGAAACTTTTATATTGCACTAGCGAAAAATTCTCGTCGCCTGTGTGTGTAGCAAACAAAATGTATTCAATTTTATACTTAATTTAAAACAACATTGAAAAGAAATAAGCTTAGCTAGAAAGAAGTTATGCATTCATAAAGTATTTGCTAAGTTTATAACTTTTTTTAAATAATTATTTGACATGATGATATTTTAAAAGTATGCATTAAGAAAAAGTTAAATCTGATATGGAGATGTTAGGACCCTTATTGTAAGCAAAATTTAATATAAGACTAATTTAATTTAATATTATTTTATGATTTTTTGTACCGAAAAGTTACTTCAAAGCTCATTAGGTTTTGTGTGGGCTGTGAACTTGACTGTCCTTTAGATTTAGAGATTTAGTTTTATTTAAGTAACTCGGCTAATAGAAAATAATAATCATTTAAATATAGTTTTCTTTAATAATCAAGTGGTAAATTATAATGCAACGTAGGAGGTCTGCATTTAATTGAAATTTAAGTTAGTATATAATGTAATTTTAAACTGATGCAGCGCCTGCCGTTATGATAATGTTAGTGCGGCGAGTAAGTTGCATCATTTACATTGCTAATATTAATTGTCAGGGAGGATTAGTTTTTAATAAAAAATGTATTTTTAAAATTAATTGTATTCGCTTTTAGTAGAAAAATGGAAACAATGGGAAACTGTAGTTACAAAAAAGGTTTGATAATTATTTTGTTCATATACAACGAGTATTAATATAATTATTTAAATAACACTAAAACCCGAAATGAATACGAACAAGCGGGTCTCTAACAGGTTTACCGAAACCAAACATTACGAAAATTAATGTGTACAAAGGTCCGACACCGTTTGAATAAATTGACATTTTATTTTCGTAGAGGAAAAGCAATTTTGAGCCAAATTAAACATTGTTAAATTTGTTTGGTGTAATAAAAATTGATATATGAGTTGTTACAGTTGGTGTAGTAACTAAGTTAAATGAAATGTTATAACTTTCTATTAGGTTTTATTGAGTTAAGAATTTAAAGTACTCATCGACTATGTTGTTACATATTTTATAACATTTTTTTTTCTATTAATAACTTAAACTGTTCAAAGACTGTTTTTTAAATTTGTATTTACATAAAGAATTCTTTTAAAATCATGTTATTCTTTATTACTCATTGTGAAAAAAATTATTAGTATAACTTTGGGTTGTAAGTTATATTCAGTAACTTAAATCATGTAGCGGAAAAACTTTTAATATACGTTTCATGCTGCATATAAAATGAAAACGTGTCCGTGAATATGCATAATACTGTCGTTACTAAGAAAATGTTTGAGATATTGTAAGATCATTGCATTTTTATGTCCCCGACTTTTTGATTCTATTTTATTCTTTAACTAGCTCTCGCCCGCGACTTCTGCGTGGTATTAAAAAAAAACCTAAGTGTGTTCCTACAGACTATATTCTACATCTATGTCAAATTTCATCGAAATACGTTCAGCCGTTTAGGCTACAAGCTCAAACAAACATCCATCTATCCATCCATCCATCTAAACTTTCACATTTATAATATTAGTAAGAGTAAGTAAGAGTAAAAAGTAAGATAAGATTAGTAAGAAGCAAGATAAGAAGTGAGATAGCATTTATGTGTATAGCGTATCTATAATTTACTTTAACATTTTTACGAGATATATATTTTTTTTTATATAACATAAGGTGGCAAACGAGCAAGCGGCCACCTGAATCCGCCAAAATGGCGTAGCGACCGCTGCCCATAGACATCCGCAATTGCAGATGCGTTGCCTACCGTTACTAGACAGAGGAGGCAAAGCACATAAAGATGATATTTCCGCTTCCTATGCATCTCCTCCTCCGTCAAATCCACTTCCTCTTCCCATCCTCTCCTTATAAGAAAAAAATGGTAAAGAGAAAGGGATTTAAATTAGGCCTCCGGTACCACACTCATCAGACGAAACAGGGAATTGATTCCATTTCACGCCTGTCTTCTGTGTGGTCGTGGTATTACACCGGGCGTGCCGGCCCATTCGTGCTAAGATGTTAAAGCGGGCACTACCACTGTTAATGATATGATGGGAACTCATTTTAGTTCTTTGTCAATAAGTTTTATATAAGTAAGATAAAGGTAACTAAGAAATTGAAATGTCGCTTTACATGTAACAAATAGTATCGTTGTAATTAATCTTACTTGTCTATTTCTTATTATCACATTTGGGTCTTAAAATAAATAAAAATATTCCATATAATACTGAAGGCTTGTAAACTTTTAAGTATTAAATTAGATTTATGTACTAATAACATTAGTTTAAAAGTAGACATTTGTATTCATGCAAGAAAATAAAATTCTTACTTTGTTCCATTCAGAAAAATTTAGTTCAATGCTATGTTGACCTAAATGTAGCGGAACAAACTTTCAAATTACTTATTTAACAATCTGCATAAACAATGGGACTCAGAACTTACAAACTTATTCTAAACAGATTCACAAATTCAATTTGGTGACCCAAATGATTGTATTACAATTGTGACACAAATTATTTCGTGTCTAAACATCCATAGTATAGGAAAACTCATCTAAATGATTATTTCTGGGTTGCTGAAGTTTCCATTTATTTTATCATTAACTATTGATTAATTACGAGTAAAACGCAAGTTATGCAGTTCGGAAACGCATTTCATGAATTAATGGAACCATTAAAGAATCGTTAAATGTAGCTGGAAAACTGGCCATATGTCTATTACTAAGATGGATATAAGATAAGTCTTATTATCCATCCGTCTATATATCCGCTAGCATGGGATTAAAAAAAATGTAACCTATGTCTCCTTCCACACTATTTTCCACATCTACACAGAATTTCGTCCGTTCCGTTCAGCCGTTTAGGCTACAACATATAAATTTTCTCATTTATGATGTCTGTATGTTTAGTATGATTTAGTAAATAAAATTAAAATAAATATACTAGCTGTTCCCGTTCGACTGCATCCGCATAAAATTAAGAAAATTTTATTTTATTGCTTAAATGTGTCAAATTATCAATTGCAAATGTCAAAATGACATGACATGATGACAAACCATTACTACCTTGCTTCCTTGATGTTGGCAGCAACTTATGGTCTCTATTTACCCCCTAAGTTTAATGGCGTGAAAATATATAGCTTAAAGTGTGACGTAAGTGTAGGGCTTTTTATTAAAAAAAGAGAACTATGCAAAAACATGCTGTAATTGCTGACACCTTAGAGAACAAAGAAGTGTGTGTTTACGCTTTATTATAATAGTATAGATAATTTTTGTTTCCTCTGACCATAATGGCATTATAAATTGTTTAGATTTTAATTTGACTTTTAAGCTTTCGACACTTTTCAGCGTACACTGGATTAAAAATTCACATGTTACAACTACAAAATACCGATGTTAAATATGTCAGACAATTCCCGGAGTTAATTAAAAGACAAATTGATCACGACAGAATTTAATAAAAGTTATTTAATGTCGAAATTTTTGAATATGCTGACAGATAATTTTAACGATGAAAATTTTTAATGAACATGAATTTAGATTTTTCTAGGCATTTTAATTAACAGAGAAACTAAAGCACAAGTATAACATTGTAATAGAACAAAGAAGAAGATTGAGCACGCCATAATTGACTTTTATAAGGAATTTTCTTGCATCTCATTTTCTTATTTTACTCTTTTATAAACGCAACAAAGGTTCTAAATAATCCCTGCTTTTATTTAAATATATAATGTTGAGTTAGAAATAAAACCGTATAAAATGCTTCAGTAAATAAATCGTTTACTAGTATTTATCGAGCGTGGAAACAAGACAGATTTACAAGGAAGTTTCCAACAGTATTAAACTATACAGGCAGTTTTAACGAAACATTTGCAACGCGTTAAACTTTCCTAATTTTCCAGTGGGTCCTGTACAGCAACTTATTTTAAATGAAGTTAGTAAGTCTATTGTTAGTGCATTTTAATTTTAACGTTTGGCATAAAGTGGGAAATAAGACTATATAAATTGCATGAAGGAACACAAATAAATCTAAAATAATAATAATAAACACTGACTTTCGCCCGCAACTCCTTCCGCATGGAATTATAGGAAACAAAAGTAGATAGCCTATGTTTCCTTCCAGACAATCTTCTACATCTATGCCGAATTTCATCGAAATCCGTTCAGTCGTTTAGGCTACGTTAACACAAACATCCATCTAAAGTTTCGCATTTATAATATTGTACTAGTAAGATAAGATTTTATGATTCAAGATCGATAGTAAATATTCCAAGTTATTCGCTTAGATAGTTTGATTTTTAATTGACTTTTTAGTTAGAACTTTGAGGAGAAGCAGAAATTGATTTTGTCCAGCAAAATATTAATTGATAAAGTTTTGACGTCGTAACGCTAAGTTTAATTAACGTTTGAAATTTTACTGGTTGACATTTGATATCTTCT